AGGGCTCGGGTGAGTTTGGATAGGTGTCGGAGTGCATTTTGAACTTAGAGAAAATCTGGTGCATTCAGTCCTGCAATTTTCGCATTTGCGAAGCAGACCTCGCAAATGCGAGCCTAGCATCGCAAAGGAGAGGAAGGGAAGATTGTAGCTGGGTTGCAAATGCGAACAATTGGTTCGCAAATGCGACCTTCAGGCTCGCAAATGCGGAGTCTGGACTATCGCAAAAGCGACATAAGTGTCGCAAATGCGATGCCCTTGTTTTTGCTCAGTGTTTGCAAATACGAACATGACTTCGCATTTCCCATATTGCGAACCCCAGTTCGCAATTCCCATATCTGAGGCCCAGCAAATTTTATACTTAGTCAAATTTGAACCATTTTTTCACCATTCTTTCAAAACCCAAACTCCTTAGGCGATTTTTCAAGAACAAGTTTCATTCCAAATCATTTGTAAGTCGATTTTTACTCAATTATTTCAATCATTAACATCATTTAACATGTTTTCCACTTAAAATCAATGATTTTCATGGGTGAAATTGGGGGGTTTGGGTAGGACCTAGGTTTTTCTAAAATTGGGAATTTGGACCTCAATTTGAGGTCCGATTTCAGAACAAAAGATATATTTGGGATCGCGGGGGAATGGGTAACCCGGTTTTGGTTCGAACCTCGGGTTTTGACCACGTGGGCCCGGGGGCAATTTTGGAATTTTTGGGAAAAACTTTGGGAAATTTATTTTTATCCATTCAAATTGATTCATTTAGTGTTTATTAAAGTAATTAGGTGACTTGTGACTAGATTCGAATGGATTGGAGGTGGAACCACGGGGCAAAGCTATAGTTGAGGTTTGAGTGGAGTTCAAAGCATCGAGGTAAGTGTTCGGTCTAACCTTAGCTTGAGGGATTAGGAGTTGAGTCATAATTGCTACTTGTTTTTTTTTTTGTGGAGTACGATGTATGGGCATGGTGACGAGTATCCATGCGCTGGTGTCAAGCATGACCGTGGGTCTTAAATTGATAATTGTGTATTCTTGATTGATCCTATGAAAGTTGTGACTGAATATTGGTATTAGTTGTGCCAAGTAGAAGTTAAATGGGACTGGTTATAGCTGACTCTCCCTTGCCGGGATGTTAGACTTGTTGTTATAGTTTTCCCCTTTCCGAGGAGTCATTATTTGTGTTGTTCCCTTGTCGGGATTGTATTGTGTAATGTATTGGAAAGTAATGGGAGCAGGTGGTACGCCTACCACAAGTGATAATGAAAAGGGAGCGGGTAGTACGCCTACCACAAGTGATAATGAAAAGGGAGCGGGTGGTACGCCTACCACAAGTGATATTGAAATGGGAGCGGGTGGTACGCCTACCACAAGTATGATGAAATGGGAGCAGGTGGTACGCCTACCACGGGATACTGAGAAATGGGATCGGGTTACACGCTTGCAACAAGATGAGTTGATTATGAAAGTTGTCTTATCTCTTCATTTTGTGTTAGAAGCTAAACTGTAGATGTACGCTCTATTATTCAAGATATTTATTTCTATCCGTTGCCCCTGATGCATGTTCCCTTCCTCCGCTTAAATTGTTTATTCTTGCTGTTTCTCCATTGTACTTATATATATATATATATATATATATATATATATATATATATATATATATATATGCACAGGTTTATTTTGAGTCTGGTCCTAGCCTCGTTACTACCTCGCCGGGGTTAGGCTAGACACTTACCAGCACATGGGGTCGGTTGTGCTGATGCTACACTCTGCACATATGCAGATACCGGAGCAGCATTTGAGCCGCAACATTAGATCGGGAGCCAGCCTTCAGTCCACCGAGACCCGAGGTAGCCTTGCAGGCGTCCGCAGGCCCGGCGTCTCCTCTATCTTACTCTTCATTTTGTTATCTCATGTATCCGAGACAAATAATGTTAAATTTCTTCAAACTGTTGTATTTAGTACTCTTAGTTGTCTGTGAGTGATGTGACACCAGTTCTTGGGTAGAGATATATGATGGTTTCCGCATTATAATTTAGTTTATTTAACTTAAGTCTTCCGCATTAATTCTATGTTTTCCGTTGTGGTTTAATTAACTAACACTTGTTGATAAGTTTAATAATAAGGGATTAAAATAAAGGAGTTGGGAATATATGAATGTGGCTTGCCTAGATTCCACGAGTAGGCGCCATCACGATCCCCGAGGGTGGGAAATCCGGGTCGTGATAAGAAACCTCTCACGTTCCACTGCCACAAGACGAAGTAGATGATTTCAGAACACCCACAACCCGAAGAAATCGTAGACCTTGAATCATCCCTCGACTCAAACTTCCTAAAAAACGACAATGAAAGCAGTGAATCATTGGAGGATCTTCCTATTAGACAGAAAAAGGCCTATGGAACAAACCCCCAAAAAGCCTGCATGCAAGAAAGGGAAAGCGGAGAACATAGATTTTGGGCCAGAGGACAAACTAAACTACTATGAACCAAGTGAGAAATCAAGGTTTGAGTCATATAAGTCTAAATCTATGGCTTATGGACACTCTGTAAGTCTCTCTATAATGAAAAATTTGCATTGGATGTGATTGCTATTTTTGACTTTCAACGTCTTTCTCCACTGTTTGATACTATTGGAAATTCTGTGTTTGAAGAGCCTGTGAGGATGTTTTATGCAAATCTGTTTGTTAATCACAAAGATGACTTGGAGTCCATGGTTTTAAGAACTCGGATTGTTCTTGATTCCCATCAATTTGAGAAGATATTTTCTGCTAAGTTTCATAGTTATGATGTTTTTGTGCAAAATTCATGGCCTAAAGAATTTGAAGTTTCCTTAGAAGAGGCAAAAGCTTTTCTGTCTGATGACACTCCTGACATTGGTCCTAAAGATCTCAAGTTTGAACACCGCGTTTTAGCCCACATGATAGCCACCACCTTACTTTCTAGAACTGGGTCCCTCAGCACTTCCACTACTGGAGATATTTTTATTCTCTATTGTCCTGTGAACAATAAAAGGCTTGACTAGTTTGTATGGATTCTTCAGTATATGCTTGAAAGTATCAGGGATATATCCTCTTCTGCTGCTTGTTTACCCTATGGTTTGCTCATCTCACATATTCTTGAAGTCATGAAGGTTGACTTGGCACCTTTCTCGCCCAAGCACATTACTAGTACCTATGATAAGACAACCTTTGCTATGATGGGTTACACCTTAAGTGACGATGGATGGGTCAGGCTTGCCAAAATTCAAAGTGCTCCAGTACAGGTTGAAACACCTACTGAACCAACAGAGACTTAGTCGACTGCCACTAACAACCTATAGCATATTCAGCAAAGTCTAGATGGGCTAAAAATCCCGCTCATTGCAATGAAAGAACAGGTGGGCAAGATTAGAGAAGTCACCAATGAAACATGTACAGATGTGGCCAAGCTTAGGATGAACATGGGAGCCACGAGGAGGTAAGGAATCAGGGCATTCAAGTCCATGACAGAAAAGATGGACAAAATCACCAAAGAAGTTAAAACCTCCTATGACTCTTTCTGCACCAAAGTGATCAATACCCTAAAGTACTTTCTAGGGAGAAACTAAGGCAGTCTGTGTGTGTTAAAAATAATTTTCTTTCTTGTTTTTATTTTGTGAACTATTTTTGCGTTGGACTGTAAGAACCATCACTCTGTACCTCTACCGAAGGCATAACCTTTGCTACCCTAACTACTCTGGCTATTATCTACTTTATATGTATGCTCTGTCTGCAATTGTGTTTTTTTTAAACCTTTTTTATTGATGTAGAGGGGGGAGAAAACGTGATTGAGTAAACCAGAGCAACAACTCAGGGGGAACGGTGATGAGTAAATCAAAGTAACAACTCAAGGGGAGCATGCATCTTAAGCTATGAAAGGGAAGTATACTTTGTTTACTCTTTTTTTTTGTCGTGACCATCAAAAGGGGGAAATTGTTACACCTAAGTTTCAATGATGACAATAGTGCAAAATTAATTGTATCCATTTGATTGCAGGAAATTAGGAGGTAGCACTACTTCAAAGGAAGTCCTTTTGGTAAGGACATCAGAAAGGAAACGAGATCAAACAAGAACGATGCTAAATCAAAGGAAGTCAAAGCCATCAAAAAGGAAACAAAATAAAGTCCAGGCGCTAAAGGAAGTCAAGGATAAATCAAGGACATCGAGGCTTTCAAGAAGGAAACATATCAAGTGCAGCTGCTAAAGAATATCAGGCCGTATTTTAAGGACTAATTTAGAATCTGAAGATACTGAAGATTGATCAACCAAATCAAGCCACAAATCACTCCCTTGAATGTGGATATGAAAGGGGAACGACATAAACGAATCCAGCCCATCTCTTGTGCAGGATTCGGAGGCACTTCTTGGGTCAAATCTCTTAGAGGATTCTGTGCCTCAATCAAAGATAGATCTACAACGGCTACTCAAACTCTCCCATAAGAAGACTGGCAAACTCAAGAAGATCATTACGCAACTACATAATTTGTTTCTAAGCCTTTCTAGTTCTTAGTACAAATAATGTATTCTTGAGTGTACAAGTATCACAAAAGATAGGAAGAGTTAGAACACAAAACGAGAGTTGTGTCAACATTGCGAAAATCACTGTTGTTGTACATCGTTGATGGTGAACGTACTAAAACCATCACTACTGTAAACATTTATCAAAGATCTAAGAGAACTCTTGTGACACATGGGAATTGGACGCAGGTACCACACTGGTACTGAACCAGTATAAAAACAGGTGTGTCTTCTTTACTTTTCTGTTCATTTAGTTCGTTCCTACTGAAATCATTCACTGTGCAAAGTCTAGTCGACTAAATTTACACTTAATCAACCAAGATTCTTAATCGATTACAATTCACCCCCTCTTGTACTTTCAAAAAAGGGTGTCAACAATACCTTTTAATGTGCAACATTACCGAGAGGAAACTATTATCCATATGAAGGTTTTTTACTGGTTTGTCTATGAGTAGATATCATCACAACTACAAATGATAAGCAGCATGTGGCTAATATATATCCTTAAGCTCGTTTAATTTGTTCCCAAACGACTTAGAACTCTATAATTTCATCAATAGCTTGACAAATTTTCGTCCTGATGAAAAGAGATTACAAATCAATCGTCTGGAAAAAGCAACTTGTATATTAAACTTTGGAGAAATTTGCTTGCGCTTTTTCAACACAACCAAAATGCTAAACTATTGCAAGGTTTTCTGTTTTCATTTGATCTGAACATTTGAGTGAAAATCTGCAAGCATCAATAGCGTCTTCAATGGTTAAGAAGACAGATTCTTTTGTAACGGTGTCTATTGACTCTGTCACCATCAACTTTTCCAAGACTCCCAACCTCGGATTCACCAAGATCATCTACAAATTAAAGAATTGAAATGTAAGTATTTAGAAACTTATGGACTTCCTATACCCTGCCCAAAAAGTAAATGATAGTTTGATTTTACCTTGATCCCTTTTGCTTCTACGCACCTTCGAATTTCTAATAAAGTTTCAACACCCGTTATGTCAATGGATGTAATACCTGTTGGCATAAGGTTGTGATTCAATTACATTACCATTGCATTATTATAATAGAAAAAGAAGGAAACATCCAAATTTCTCCTCCTTGCTAATTTATAGGAGTACCTCCTAATTCAAGTAATAAGAATTCAATTTCATTTCCTTTAGAAATGGTAAGAGAACGCTCATCTCTGATCCATCTAAGAATCCTGCGCAATCCATCAAAGAAAGACTATTACTAGAAGCACAGCTTGTTTGATGTGTATGAGAGAAAATACAACAAATTAAAAACCTTTCTCTGATGTAATTGCAATTTGCAAAGTATATAGGAGAACCAAGCTTCAGAATCAGAAACCCCGCAATTCCATTTGCATCAGGATACTGCTCCACATCGCGATACAATCCAGTTTCTGATATGAGTCCAAGCTTGCAAGTAGCTGGCCTTGCTATATATAGAAGTGCTCTGATTAAGGCAAGTCCAACCTGGAAAAGCCCCGGAAAAAAAATCATGATCTCTAATAGCAAACTTTTGTTATTAATTGATATTTTATTGAAAAGTGTAGTGCTTACGGATAACATTAGGCCAATGTCCATGCTTATGAAGGAAACACCAAAAAAGGCAGCCATACAAATACAGAAATCAAACTTGTCTGTCTTGAAGAGGTGATATGCCTTGTCATAGTCAATTAAGCCAAGCATTGCAGACATGATGATGGCGGAGAGAGAGACGAGGGGTGTGTAACTAAACAGAGGAGCCAAGAACAGAAGGGTTAGCATCATGCATATTGACATTACCACGTTTGACATTGCAGTCTTGCATCCAGCGTTGAAGTTAACTGCAGTTTTTGAAAATGGCCCTGAAAATACAACATCCATCATTATTAATTAGTTATGTACTACTACATGTTTTAATTTTATTTTATACATTTCTCTGGGAGTGTTCATAAAAAACAAACCGAACCAAACCGACTAAAAAAACCGATACTTTTTAGGTTTGGTTTAGGTTTTAAATTTTAAAAACTGATCAAATTTGGTTTGGTTTGATTTTAAACAAAAAAATAACCGAAAAAACCGAACCAAACCGACTATAAAAGTATCTATTTAAATTTATTATTACACCTATATATATATATATATATATATAAAGTTTCTAAAATTTTATGGTATGTAGTATGTATATATATATATATATACATATATATATATATATATATATATATGTATGTATGTATGTATGTTTTATATAAAGTTTTTAAATTTTATGGTACATATTAGTCATTTGTATTTTAGTCTAGTTTTTTGTTATTATAATAATCTAATTCTTTACCTTTACATTCTAGTTTGATTGATAGTCTTCTTTTGCTATGTGCAAGAATTAATTTTATGTTAAAAATAATCAATTTTTTATTGAGTACTTAAATTATTCATCACTATTTGATTCAATTATCATTAATATATCTTGGTAAATGATAGATTTTTTAAAGAGCAATTGACTTGATAGTGTTACGTTAAAAATGTAGTCGCCGGAATATGCGTTTGGTAGTGTATGTCTCATATTTAAGAAAAAACTGATAAATAACCGAAAAACCGACAAAAGCCGACAAAACTAGAATTCATAAAAAACCGATTTAATTGGTTTGGTTTGGTTCAAATATTTGAAAAATCGACTTACTTGATTTGATTTCTTTTTAGGAAAAAACCGACCCAAACCGAACCATGAACACCCCTAATTTTCCTAGAAGCATGTTCATTAAGTATATTGTATGACGGAGATGAATCTAGAATCTAAAATAAATGGGTTAGGATGAGAGATCTTATTACATATATTACTCTCCTCATTTAGTTTATGTGAAATTTTTTCGGAGTACGAGGGTCAAATTGACTAATTTTCGATATAAATACGAATATAAGAGTTTCAAAAATTTTGAAATGAAATTTACATAATTAAAAACTACATAAAAATTATTATATGTCATAGTTAATAATTGAAAATATTTAAAAAGTTTTACAAAAACCGTGATCAAAGAAAATTTTATTTGACTCCTCAAATAATAATAGGTTCGCGCAAAGTAAAATAGAGGGGGTATATATATATATATATATATGGGAGGAAAGCAAGAGATTCAGTTGAATCAAGCCCGTCGTAAATCCAGGGATGCTAATAATCTAATTAGTTTTCTTATCCAGTAGGTACAGTTTCCATCACGAGACTGGTCCTGACAACTGTGGTGTGATTGGTACGAAGAAAAATATTTTTCTTGAGGGTGGGTCCCTTCGGAGACATCCGATAAAAAAAAAAATTGAGAGTGGGGTGGGTAATAAGGTAGGGAAGGTTGAAAAAGAGTTTTGAAAACTTTTTTTGCCCCTTTTTTTTGGTATGGAAGTCATTTTTATCCAATTGGAGGAAAATAAGTTCATGCGAAAAATATTCTCTAAAATATTTAAGCCAACCAAACATAAGAAAATTGATCCATACCAAACACACCCTATATCTTGGTAAATTTTACTCTTGATTTTAGTGAATTACCAGTAGGGGTGGCAAACGGTCGGGTCGGGTCGAAAATGAATACTGTAAAACCGGATAAATTATCTGATCCGACCCATATTTAATGTGGATAAAAATGGGTTAATCAGTGGATAATATGAGTATATTTAATGCTTCTTGAATATGATCACTTTTGGGAGAATTCTTAGTGGCGTTTGGACATAAGAATTATAAAATTCCAAAGAAAAAAGTGAAACTTTTTTCAAGTGGAAATGGTATTTGAAAATTAGAGTTGTGTTTGGACATAAATAAAATTTTGGGTTATTTTTGAATTTTTGTGAGTGATTTGAGTGAAAATTTTGAAAAATAAAGAGTCTTTCAAACATTCGAAAAGTTCCAAAATTCATCTTCAAATGAAAATTTGAAATTTTATGGCCAAATACCGATTTAAAAAAATGAAAAATTCTTATATCCAAACGGGCTCTTAGTGTGACAAACTTGAGGAACCCCAAATTTAAAGTTTTATAAATGTAAAAATTAAACCCAATAGTTATCCATTTTCTAAATGGATAATATGGTTCTTATCTATATTTGAGCTGTTTTTAAAAAGTTCATTATCTAGGCCAATTTTTAGTGAATAATATGAATAATTAACTATTTTGTATTAATCATTTTGCCACTACTAATTACCAGTGGTCAAGTAGCATGAAGTGAAAGATCCAAAAATGTTCATGAGGCCAATGGCAATCATTTCCTTGTTGCCATCAATTTGTTCATTTCTGATGATGGCGAAACTCCGTCCGATGGCTATTCCCTCCTAGAAAATATTCCATATGAACTTAGTAAACACGTACGTTTTTTATGATTGACAAATCTGAAATTCTTTGTCATAAACGAAGCTCGTATGTATGGATAAAGGGTGTACTTACAGCTAGAGATATCATTGCTGCGATGACTCCTGCTTTTATAGGTGCTGATATATACTTGGGATCGAAATTTAAAAGATGAATGGAAGAAGGATTTATTCCTTTACTCAAATGTCCAACCTGTATATATTCAGTCCAAAATATGAGACAAAAAGACCTACTGTTACATTAGACGAGACAAATTAAAATACGGACTTAGTGCTGTGACCACAGAAAAGAAAAAGTTAGTGTTGCGTTTTCTACAAGATTATTAGTGATCTTGTCCATATCCGTCGGTGGACATAACTTGCATACTTTAAGTCTAATTCTCGAAATGTCAAAATTGGCTCTTCCTCGCTAGTTAGGTGGATGTCCACTTAGATAAGTGTTGTAAAAAGGGTTTGTCTCAATGATAAATTAGTGAAACGTTGCCATACACACCTCAATAGTAATTCTCCAACAACCCATAAAGAGAATTCAAAAGCAATCTTTTCCAAACTTGACTCTAACAGTTGCAAATTCTTTAATTTTTGTCTCTCCTTATGCGTCTCTTCCTGTTCTCAAACTATTTCGTTTGACAAACCGAAGCAAAAATACTTATAAAGCGGATCCAGGATTTAAACCCTATGGGTTCAACTTATAAATTTTTTAATTTTAAACCCATTATATTTATAAAGTTATTGGGTTCATATCTACTATTTTTGAAACTTTAATGAATTTTACATATAAATTTTTACTCCGCGTAGAAAGTTATGAGTTCAATCGAGTATACACTACATCCGCCCAGACTTATTGGTATTCCCTGTATATCTTTGTATATATTTGTGTGAGATACATGTGTCATAAAGGAAGTTTTTAACTCGATTTCTACTAAAATATTTTACGGCACACTAGCTAATTCAAATCACCTTCAATCTTCCTCAAATTTTGTATATCTCCGCGATTCTCTCTTCTATTCTTCCTTTCCTTGTCGGCCCATATTTGTCAGCTTTTCTATATGTTCTACAGCACTTAATATAAATTCATTTTGGGGTTGGGGGAGAAGGAAATTAAAGGCTTACGATTTGGATGCCATGTTTCTCAGCATGGGCGAAGTAAGCAAAAAGGCAGCCGACAATTACAGTGACCATTGGAGCTATGGCTGAAACCCAAAATAGCTTTGGTTTCTTGTTTTTCTGCAAAGAAATATTTTTTTTTTCTTGTATACATGATCTGCGAGAACACTTATTTTCACATACCAATAGGAAACACTCACCACAAATCTAGTGAATTGCAGGAAAGTAAGGAAGATTATTCCAACAACTGCACTCTCCCACTTCCACTGTTCGAGTACACAAAAAAATCAATAACAGAAATTAAATTGCCCAATTATATATATGGATCTATAAAATAATATTTCTAAATGATATGTGAGTGTCCAAGCTAAGGTATTTGAAGTATGCCAATGCATGGCTATTCACTTAATTAATCTAATAGATACAACCTCTTTTCTGTTGTGGAAGATAGCACGTAAGACAGAAACCACATCAGTATGGGTAGTGAAATGCTTCAAACCAAGCATGCCCTTCAGTTGCTGCAAGCAAATAATTATTGCTGTACCTCCCATAAATCCAGTTATGGTTGAATGTGATAGAAAATCTACCAAAATCCCAAGTCTGCACAAACCAAATAAATTCTACTTATATATTTCTACTAGTGCTAATTAATCAAAGAACTAGTTCTAATGTATCAAAGAACTACTTCGGTCGATATACCTTAGCAAACCCAGAGCAGTCTGAACCAAACCAGAGAAAAGAGTGGCCGTGAACACCAAACTAAGATACAGCGGCATATTATCGTTAGCGTTCACTTTTTCTTCAATAATTGCAGCAATAAGCAATGAGCAAGCAGCCACCGTCCCCACAGCAAGGTGTTTTGAACTTCCAAAAACCGCATAAATAAGAGGAGGAACAAAGCTCGAATCTGCATGCATGCAACTCATACATCTTTTAATCAAAATATTGTTAGTTGTACCTACTTCGAATCAAAAGCCAAGAAAGCCATGAACACGTACATCTTTTGGTACGAAGTGTCAATATATATATATATATATATATATATATATATATATATATATATATATATATATATATATATATATAGGAAAAAACAATACAATACTCTTATAAGTAGCTAGCTTACAGAGTCCAATGATTGGAGGAATGTTAGCGAGTTTGGCATAGCTTATCCCTTGAGGAATGGCAAGGCTAGCAATAGTTATTCCAGCAAGAAGATCATACTTGAAGAGCTTGAAACTGTACTTTGGCAGCCATTCAAATATTGGAACAAAATATTGAGCCCCCTTTAAAAATCTGCGTGAAATTGGCTCGTTCTTGATTTCATGGAATGGATCATCTGGGAAAAGGGTCTCTTTTAGGTTTGCTTTTAGTAATATCCCAAAGCTTCGTGGCGCTGCATAATTCACCCTATGCAAAGACTGGGGAGAGCTCGTCATGGCTGGGATATATATTGCTTTGCAGAAGAAATGAGCAAAAAGAAAGGAGAGCTTGGGTGGATTTGGCTTGAACAGCTTTGTGAATATTTATAGACGCAAAAAAGTTGGAAAGTGATGCAAGAATGACCAAGAGGAGAAAAATGGGGAATTGTCTGTACTTTACCTTGTTTGATCTTAATTTATTGAAAGGCGGCGAAATTTCTTGTATCATGTAAAGTCATATAATACTATATTATATTCTTTTCGTTTCAATTTAAGTGTCTTAGTTTGACTACACATGAAGCGTAAGAAAGTGAGAAAATTTTTTAAATCTTGTGACCTTAAAGTAAAGATATGTATAATGTTTCAAATGTCCTTGAATCTTGTAGTCTGGAATTTACCATATGGAAAGTTGGAGTTAAAAGTTACTAAATAAAGAAAGAGACATTCTTTTTGGTACAAATTAAAACAAAAAGTAAGCTATATAAAGTTAAAATGGAGGGAGTACTAAATATTACTCCTTTCGTTCAATTTTATGGGACGATAATTGACTCCACATGAAGTTTAAGAAAGAAAAACTTTTCCTTTCCTCAGCATCAACAACTTTGCCAACACTTGAGGGCAAAGCTGCAGTCTTTCTCAACCCATACTTCATCCTCATTCCCATCCTACCACAACTAGCACTACCAACCCTATTTTCCTGGTTCAATGTTTCACTAGTCTCCTCTTCTCGATTATCACATTCATGAGTATCCAAAAACTCGATATCCAAAGAACTAGGCCCTCCATAATCTTTTCAAAGGAACTTGGTTTCTTTCCCTCTACAACCTTTTTTCCTAACCGCACTACGTCAAAACACAAAGTGAAATCTCCAACATCGAATTCTCTCTCTCTCTCATGTGTAAATCTAAGGGCTTTTGGAGTCTCTTTACGATCCAAAATCCAACACGACGTGATGACACCTAACCCAATCCGTTAGGTACACCAATAACAATTTTTGCACCCTATTTTACACTAGTCAAGACAAGATTCAATTTGTAGTTTCTCTGTTGTTGATGAAGGAGAGTCGCCACCTAATATTTAAAGGTATACTAGGGTACCTAATGAGTGGTGATTTTACCATTTATTTTAGTCTCTTTGCTTCGTTTTTGTATCCATTAATTATAATATGAGGTTGTTCATGGTGTGTATTGCTAGATTATCAGGTAAATGATATCATGAAGAGAGTTGAAGTCAATTGAAGTGGAATTGAGTAGAAAAGAGTTAAAGAAATACAAATTCCTTCAGTGATTTCGCATCTGCGGAACCCTGTGCGCTTATGAGATCTCACATCTGCGAGAAGAAGGCCGCATCTGCGAAACTGGGCAACCTTTGCTGGGATCGCATGTGCGATTTGGTCATCTGCGCTTCTGCCCAAAGGGTCCGCACCTGCGTGTGCGTTTTTGCGCCTCGTGGTCCGCTTCTGCGGAATTGTAATTTCCACCAATGGCCGCTTCTACGAATGAAAGTCCTCTTTTGCGGAGTTGCACCTGCGATGATCTATTCCGCAGGTGCGTCCAACAGGCATCAGACCTGGGCAACTTGGGCAATTCAGATTTTCTCCATTCCAAACCCACAAATATATGACCTAGCTCATTTGTAAGATATCTTTGACCAATCTTGGAATTATCTTTGACATCTCTTGACTAGAGAAGACAAGTTTAGAAGCTAGGGTTCTTGCACACACACTTGGGGCTTGAAGATTTGAAGCTTTTGGTTGAGATTTTTTTGGCCATTTAAGTTCATTTATTCATTTCTTACTTTGTATTGAATATCTAAGTGTTTAGTATTTTTTTCAATACTTGAATCTTGTTTATGGGAATATTCATATTTAAAGTGGGGCTTAAATATCTTGTTGTGCTTATGCATTGAACGATTTTTATTTATTATGAAGTAACTTATTGTTTCTTTAATTATTCTTGTTCTTTAATGTTTCCAAAGGGATTAACTAACTGTGGGACTCACCCATTTACTTCTAATTAATTTTGGAAAAGATAATTTGGTGTTGGAAAAGATTAGTTAACAAGAACTCGAGGCGTTAACCCTCACTTTATAGATTTTACCTGCGGATAGGATTGAACTACTTGTAGCCATATTCTGGTGTGCTTTATCTCTTAATTATTTTAGGGATAATTCAATAAGGAAGTCTTATTAGCCTTCGGAAGAAGCTAATAAAGAATTATTACCCGAGGCTAATTAACATAAACTTGCTCATATTTGTAAAATCGTCAAATACATTGGATCGTTACTTGAGTGTTATTCCCAATGCATCCATGCTTGTGGCCATCCATAATTTTACTTGCTTTCTAGGTTAGTTTATATTTTCGCAATTAGTTATAAACATTTTCTCAAAAATATCCTAAGTGTTTGGCTTAGCATAATAAGCGATAATTTTCTTACACTTCTAATCACCTACATATTGTTCTTTGTGGGATTCGACCCCGACTCATAGTTGGAAATATTATATTACATGCGACCGTGTCCATTTACTTTTTAGAAGTGGATTTGGACGCCATCAAGATTGGCGCCGTTGCCGGGGAACAATTTGGCGTATTTAGGTTGTTTGAGAAGTAAGTGTACGTGCTTTAGTCCAAACTTGTGAATATTTGTGTAGTTATTTTTCTTATCTTAGTTTATTTTCTTATTTGTTTCTTGTTTATTTTCTTAGTTTTGAAAAATGGCATCGCATAATGAAAATTGGTCGGATTGTAGTTGTTCATACTTTGATGACCCTTATCCTTATTGTGGAGGGCCACTCTCTTGGCAAAATTGTTTAAATTCTCCCGGGGGTGGATTGTGCACACAATCTCAAACTCATAAATAGAGTATTTGTGATAAGTGTGGTGGTCAAAATGGCCATTGGGATAATTGTACTTATTTGTCCTTCCCTTCCCCGAACCCCTGCTATGATGATTCTACTTTTTGTGATGACAAGTATAGGGATATGGAAGTGGAAGAAGTTATGCATGGTCAAAATGGAGAGTTCAAGCTCATGGTGGAATGCCTACTTGAAGGAGGAAACAAAAAGCAAAATGCCTTGGATGAGTTTTTGAAAAATAGTCTCCAAAATGATTTGGCGCTTGAACGGTTGAACTTAAAAAGGGGAGAAATGCTTGAAGCTTTAGAGGTCCAAAAAGCCTCGGAAGTGAATGATAGCCAAGAACCTTCCATAAAGGTTGAAGTCGAAAATCCTTCTTTGGAAGTGGATCAAAACCAAGAAGAACTCTCAAATGCTCAAAATGAGAGGATGATGCTCATGTTGGAGGCCATTCTTGAAAATGAGGAGAATCACAACTTGGAACTCGAGGACTTGAAACAAGTACTTACTCAAATTGATGAGAATATCCGCACCTTGGAAGATCAAATAAAAATACTGATTGAGGCTCACTATGCCCACCAACTTGAACTTCGAGGAAAGTGAGTTTTATTTTGAGGAATCAAGAATTGAACATCCTTCAACCGACTCCATGCTTGTTAGTGATGCCAAGAAAAATATAGAATTAAAGTCAACCGGTGTAATTGAAAATATTTTTGAAGTTGATTCTAGTTCGGGGGACCAAGAGAATGTCAAAATCCGAAAAAAATTACAATGTCACATTCCAAGTATTTCTCAAAATTGGAATTGTGTGGTGATATGAGAATTGAACTGCACGAGTCAATGAGGGATTGAGAAGAGGAGAGGCAAGGGCTATACATCTTACAATTTGAAGGTACAAGAAGGTAAAATAACATTCCTCACATGAAAGCCAAGAAATACAAAATAAAGCAAATGGAATTTGGCTTGATCATCCACTTACCACCCCCCACCACTCGTGGTCACAAGCTTGATTCCAAGTTAGGTGACCAGTTCATATATTCTAAGTGGAGAGAAAAGTGGTAAAGTTGATTCGCGTCGTGCCACGACGTTAAATGCAGCACTTGGTGGGAGGCAACCCATCATTTTCAAAAATTTTAGTCATTTTTCAAATTTTCCTTTTTAGAATAGTTCGCTATATTATTTTAGACTAATCTGCAATGTTTTAAATTTTTTGGAGTTGAATTGAGGAGCTTGAGGTGTTGGAGTGCACAAAAATAGTAGCTGCCCAGTTGTGTCATTGAGAAATCTGGTGCAACCGCGTCTGCGGAAATATTCACGCAGAAGTGGCTATGTAGAAGTGTGTTTTTTCCGCAGATGAAAAACTATCACAGAAGCGGCAGCTACGCGCAAAAGCGTTTATGCGGAAGCGGTAAAAGTCCCGCAGAAGCGACCTGTTGGGTAAGTTTAAAGAAAAAGGCCTCTCTTACAGGTAACACTCTAACTGTTTTCCTCCAAACTCTAACTCCTCTATCTCTCACATAACTGTTGCTCAAACTTTCCATTGCTCTCGATTTTTACTGCCCTCACACAAGATACCCAGTACCATCTTCAGTCTCTCTTCTACTTCTTTCTTCTACTTTTATTTTCTTCTTCTTCTTCTTCTTCTTCTTCTTCTTCTTCTTCTTCTTCTTCTTGTTCTTCTTCTTCTTCTTGTTCTTCTTGTTCTTCTTGTTCTTCTTCTTCTTCTTGTTCTTCTTCTTCTTCTTCTTCTTCGTCTTCTTCTTCTTCTCTGAGTTTCCATGGCCTATCTCTCACATAACTGCCTATCTCTCATTTATGAGATTCCATGGCCATTTTCCCATGGCCCTTGTTTTCCCTTCTCGATCATTGTAAGCTTTAGGGGTGAGAGAAATTGGTTGAGTGTAGCTGTGTGTGCTGTTATTTTTGAAAAGAATTGGGGAAGTCTGAGTACCCAATTGCTTAAAAAAATCAAAAATAACTCTATGCCTGTCATGTGTTCGACAAATTGTCTGAAATAATGTTTGCTGCTATGTGCCTTAAAATCACGTGGAGTCAAGTCGTATGTTCATGTAGTGCACTAATTTAGAATTCTTTAGTATAAATTATGTGCCAAAATCATGTTTGGAATTGAAAAGAGTCGGCAGTAGCTGGGTTTGTGAAACCCCTGATGAAAACTGTTGAAGCAACAACAATTGACGCAGATACGGCTTCTCAGCTGTGATGCCTTCTTCGCAGGTAC